TCAAAAAATTCAAGTTAGATGCTCTTTATGTCAATTGAATGATTTGTTATGCCTTAAAACTGAGGTACTGATGCCTAATATAATGGTTTAAAGGACACTGGATTCAGAAGTTTAGAGAAGAGTCACAAAAATTGTATTTTTAACCATGAACATAGGAAATAGCAAACATAACCATAAATAAATTACTTGCTAAGTATATCACTGTACTAACAAATTAGTTATTGTATAGACTTTAAAATTCATGATTTTAAATAATATTTAACAACATGAAAAATTATGATGATGCAATGTTGAGTAAAAAAAAGCAGGAAAACCTATATGTGGTGTGATTTTAGTTGTATTAACAAGGTATATATGAGTAAGAATAGATTAGAAGGAAATATACCAAAATATAACATTGGCTATTTCTGGAGATGGGATTATGCATGATTTTAATTTTCTTCTTTTTATTTTTTCTGTATATTTTCGAATTTTCTAATATGACAAGTTTTTGTGTATCATAAATGTATTATAAAAAGGAGCACTGGCATAAATTTTCTGAATGTGAGTATTCCCTATATTGGGTAAAATATTCCCTACTTTCCTCAATATTGGGTAGATAATACTTAATGAGTTTCGCTTGAAGAGTTTTTGTATATTGCTTGCAAATATTTTTCGATATAGGATGCAAGGCATAGAAATTAGGGATGCTGAACTCACTCAGAGGTAGATATGACTGACTACAGTCTTATGTGGCTAATGCTGCATTAAATATCCTGTAGAGCAAACATGATTGTTTAATAGTAAAACTGTCTTCTTATCCAATCGATCAAGACTGAGCATTCTCAGTGATGGACACTATTGTCCAATCATTTACTACTCTTTCCAAATGGGACATGCATTCCTTCAATTTTGTGTTCCTCTATCACTTTGCTGTCAGTGAAGAGACTCAAACATCATTTTGACCCAATAGCATATAATTGTTTACATGCTATTGCTTTTCTAGTGGTTGCTTGCTTTTATACTTTTTATATATTTGTAGAGGCCAATTAAATTTTTGGACTATATATCTCACTTGGCTTTAGTCTAAAATTAAATTACAGTGACTGAAGACTGATTTTTTCCTAAGCTGATAGAAAAATATGGTAAAAGAAATTGGTAAATTGTGAGATGTTTTGTTTTTAGTTTAAGATTATCTACAAATTCCTTTTTTCTTAACCGCTTAGTGTATGTGTGAACAGATTGCTTATTTAGGTTATTTGATGAATTTCCCAAAATACGTTATCAAGTTAGTGTTTACTTTGTTTACTCAGAAAGATATTATTTGTTAAATTACGTTTTTTGTATATGTGTTTGTAGTATCTTGAATATGTCAAAAATTGTTGCTTTTAATATTAGACTACTGTTACTGTTGCTGCAAGTTATTACTGTTTAAAGTAGCTGAATTTTACATAAGATTTTAAACATATTATTATGAGCATATATAGTTATTAAGAATTTTAGAGTGGTTAATACACATACACATATATATATGAAGATGGATAGATAGTTGATAGACAGATAGATAGATAGAGATAGGGATTCTTTTTTTTTTTTCCCACTGCAATCCACGGTCTGGTCCTTTGATCAGGTCTGCCGCAGATCGCTTGGTCTGGTCTGTCGCGGATCACTTGGTCTGGTCTGCTGCGGATCGCTAAGTCTGGTCTGGTAGGTTGAGCTGCAGGGTCCGGTTTGCGGGGAGGGGGGAGCTCACTCTTTTGCCCTCTG